CACTTAGACCTACAACCTACCATTGTCATCCATGGTAATCAAAGGCACAGGTAAGTACCCTTCACCTCCTTACCACTTAGACCTACCCCCTACCAATTACTATCTCTTGAGTGAGTTTGACTTTTGCTGATTGCCGAATACCCTTCCCACAGTGTCCACTGCCTTCTTCTTCCCAAGCTATACATATTGTCACATAACTATTAACTAAAAATGTGCACTTTGCGAAACAAACGGCAAAAAATAAAAATTAAAAAAATAAGACAAACATGAAGGACACAGTGAAACCATTCATTTTCCTCGTTCTTCTTGACTCCCCTTTCACCGTGCCTCTCATGTTACAAGGCTCGCCACGTTGATGAAGTTGAGCGCGAGCTGCCCCCATCCCCGCGTGCCATAACAGCCCATTTGTACGCTGTGAGAAAGAGGCAGAGTGAAGGGGGAGGGGATAAACACAGGGAGGAGAGATGGAGAGCAGACAAACAAAGAACGATAAAGGGAAAGTAAGGGAAAGTATGGAGTGTGGAGTGAAGATGAAGGCAAAAGAGGATAAGAAAAGGCTCAAGAATGAGTCTGTCCCTGACGACAGAGAGGACAGACATTGTAAGGATGAGGTGGATGAACACATGGAAGACCTAGCTGAGCATTCTTAGTGCAACAATTGCCACGACGGGTGGCATTGGGCATGCCCACCATACACCCCCGACAAATGGCATGTCGATTGCAGGCCAAAATGAAAGAAGAACGGTCACCACAAAAGAGCATGCATTCAGTATTAGCGCCCATGGCCGTAAAATGGACATATAGTGTCTGGATGCGGAGGGTGTCTGTAGTCAGGAATAGTGGGACAGTCTTTTGCACACATGGATGCAGAAACCATGTCATTGTAGTGATTGTGACAGAGATGATGGCGGACACAACCGAGTGTAACAGTGTTTGTGACTGTGCAAAGGAGAAGGTCGCAGAGTGTTGGTACATTGTCTTGCTGCAGCACGGGACCAGAGGAATGATCTTCGACATAAAAGAGATTGCGGACGGTTTGTTGTGGCAAGAAAACAACATCATTTTGTTAGAAATCAGTGACATCAATCATGGCATGGACCATGGTGTCGAGTGTCCCACAGCTCCCAGTGGTCAGAGGCATGTACAATGCGCATGTAATGGCCAGGGCCGTGAACAATGCAAGCAAAGATGTGACGGTTAAACCACTCACCTGCTCGAGCATTGCGTAGTTCAAGTTCACGGTCCCTCATTGCTACTTGTAGGACAGCAATGGTAAAGCCTCCTTCGCTGGTATAATTACAATCCTTTGGCTATCGTTGGGGAAGATCAGCATCAAGTTGAAGGGCGATTGCAAGGAAGCCAGATGGTGTATAAAACGGGCAGTGGACAATGTGAAGACAAATATTAGTTGTTGTCAGACCACAGAGATTGGTGAGGTTCTCAGGCTGGTTTGTTGGATGTTGGCCAACAATTTGTAGATCACCCAGATGGTGTTGCAAGCCCAAACTGTGTTCGGTTGATTGTTGGTCGTTCATTTGCAAATCACCCATGTGGTCTGCGCGTGGCGGAGCATAAAATTGTGGTTCATCCGAACAATGCTGGTCAGCCATTTGCAAATCCCCCATGTGGTCTACGCCTTGTGGGATCAACTGCAATCCGGGCAGCTCATGTTCCAATCCCTCAACGTTTAGGGATGCATCCCGAGTAGGGACTGTACCTGGAGTCCGGAGTGTACTCTGGGCAGCGGTTGCATCATGAGCAGGGATTGTACCTGGAGTCGGGAGTGTACTCTGGGCAGGGACCACATCGTGTAGGTGAGTTGTGAATATCCAACACCGCAGGGTACCGTGGCTGCCTGCAGACAGCTGGACTGTCTGCAAGAGGCATAGGAGCGAGTATTGTCATTTGAAACAAAGGAACCGCAACAACCTCTGGAGGAGGCACAAAGAGAATCGGCCAGACAAAGAAACAGGTTGCTGATCCCCGGACAAGTGACGATGCCGCGGATGTCGTCGGTGATACACAACAAGAGGAGTAGCGGTGTTGCAAACAAAAGTTGAACTTGTACCTAGCAACGAAGGTGGAACAATGAGAACAATGGAAACTGGAGAGTCTGTTCGCAAGCGCGACCGTGGAGGAGATGGGGGTGGTGAGGAGGAACGCAGCCGTCTACGGCCAAGCACAGACAAAGATGAGAGGGGGGTGCATTGGGCAAGATTTTGGAGCGAAGGACGCAAGCGTCGGAGAGATGGTGATGTTCTTTGCATTGGAGCTGCAGGACAGGGAGTTGTAGCAGTAAAAACTAAAGTAGGGGGAATTACAGTTAGGGAAACTGTTGTACTGAAAATTGCAGCAGTAGAAACTGCAGCAGCGGAAACTGGAGCAATGGAACCTGGACCAATGGAAACTGCAGCATTCGACACTGCAGCAGTGGAGACCGCAACAGTGGACACTGCAGCAGTGCAAACTGGAGCAGTGGAAACGGCAGCAGTGGAACAGTGGACACTGCAGCAGTGCAAACTGGAGCAGTGGAAACTGCAGCAGTGGAAACCGCAACAGTGAACACTGCAGGAGTGGAGACTGCAACAGTGGAAATTGCAGGAGTGGAGACTGCAGCAGTGGAAACTGCGATAGCAGCAGATGAGCAAGCAGGGGCAGGACGAGAGCATCGTGGGGGCGAAGAAGAAATCGGATGAAACAAGGACCATCGCAGCATGCGTCGGAACCACTGAGAGAGACGCGTCACATGCGTAGGATAGCGACGTTGGCCGGAGCGCATGTAGCAGGTCCACCCCTTAGCAAGGGTTGGTGGGGAATGCCCACGCGAAAGCATACGACGAGTAAGTGTTGTTGCCGCGATTCGAAAGTCCTGCCAATTGTTAGAAAATTTGTTTAAATCTGGTCAATTGCCCAATAAACACACCAGCCGGTTGATGGTAAGGGATGTTGGAGGTCGCACTTGGATAAGGAATGACAGGGAAGTCCCAAGCAACCGCTTTATCAAAGACGTTCATGCGAAGCGAGCCAAGCTATATATATTGTCACACTGTGAATCAGAGCGCAGAAGCGAAAAGAAGAAGAAGAAAAGAAGAGAAAAGAAAAAAAAGGGAGAAGAAGAGGTAAGGAAAGCTCCACCTGTTCATAACCTCTTACGTACAAGGCCAGCCACGTGGATGACAGGTTGAG